ACGAGGTGATCCCAAGGCGTGCTGAGAAGCTTCGCATGGTTTCCGCACATGTGAAGTAGACAGGCAGCGTGTGACCCTGTCCAACCGTCACAGCTCCGCTCTGCCGGCCCTGGCTCCGGCTCCCCTTGCTCCTCCGCGTCTGCTCGCTCAGGCTCCAGGGCTACCCATTCCTCTGTCTTCTCTCCTTCTTTTTCATCTTCTTTTTCTTCTTCCTCCATGGGCGTCACCTCGTCTTCTGGCGGGGACCCAGTCTTTTCTGGATCAGGGGGGTCTTCTCTTGGATCTCCTCCCGACGCTCCCCCCCCTGCCGGCTGATCCGCGTCGCCTATTTCTTCATCTTGCCCCGCTTCTCCTTCCGCCGGCGGTGGTGGCCCTTCTGCCGGCACGTCCGCAGCCTCCATATTCTGGTCTAGGGGCTCGTATGCGTCCGCCGGTGGCCCAAGCGCCAGGTAGTCCAGCCCCTTCCCCATTTCTTCTTCTGCCGGCGGGGGCTTTGCAACTGCGGCCTTCCCCTTGACCTGCTGCGCGGGCTCCTCAGAGGAACTCTCCGCTTAGGACAGTGTCCTCCGGGGAGCTCTCCTTATTTGGACACGCACAATGAAGTCGTCCATGGACTCAATCCTCCGACTCGCTCTCATATTCAACTGACTCAAACCCCGTTCTGACTTTGCGTTTGGCTGGATGCGCCCGCTTCTTTGCCCCGCCGGCCCCCGTCCTTTGAGCAGAGCCCACTCGTCCCAAGGCTTGTCGTTGCGCTCGCACCTTCTCCATTGCCCCGGACTTCTGCGGCTCCTTCGGTTTCAGGTTGCGCAGTTGGGGTTTGTGGTACGGGATGTTGCGGTCCATGACTCCCCACGCAGTGAAGAGGTAGATCAGTTGCTCCCGGCTGGGTTCCACCTCGTGGTAGAGCTTGACGGGTTCAGCTTTTGGAAGCTGGGCTGTGGGGTCCGTGTCTTGCGCAAGGGTTGCGGTGGGGACTGGTTGGACGCCGGCGGTGGTGAGGGGGACGTTGGCCAGGCTCATCCCCCCGCATGAGTTTCAGAGGGTTCTCCGGCCAGACTTCATACTTCATCCGCCACTCTACCGCTTTGGCGTCTCATAGTGCCACCAGTTCTTGCGCGTCTTCTTCTTCTTCCCCTTACAGGCCTCCTCTTCTTCCGGGCTTATTGCCTAGTGGCGCTCCATCAGCCTCTGCTTCGCAATCGCCAACGCCTGCGCCGCAAAGTGGTACGCGTCCTGCATCTCAGCTTGGCTTGCTCCGAATCCTCTGCCTCCCCGTCCGTTGCCGCACCCGACGGACCCGCCTCGTCAGCGACATACGCTGGCGCCGCCGCTCCCTGTGCCACTCCCCGGCGCCTCACAGTCTTACGAGAGTCTTACCCGGGATGGGTCCCACCCGCAGGTCTTCGAACAGCTCTTCACGCACCCCCACCAGGTCCATGCCTTCCAAGCCCTGGTAGCGCGCGTCCGTTGGGGAATACTCTTCGAAAGCAGGGGGCATGCGTCGGAACCTCGTGGGTTGCCTGTGGGTCTTTTCCCCGCGCAGCTCGCATTCTTCTCGCAGGCCCTCCTCCTCAGGTTCTTCCTACCCCTCGGTTTCAGGTGCCTTCGGCGGCCGCTCTCCTTTGGGCTTGAACGGCGGCGGTGGACCTCCCTTGCGCAGGCGGTCCTCCTTGGGGCGTGCAGCCAGCCGATCGGCCTCGCCACGCGCGCGCGCGGCTGGGATGGTGTCAGGCTGCGCCTGCGTGCTGGGACGCAACTGCAGCCCCTCGTCTGCCATTACCGCCTGGGCCCTTAGATGCGCCGACGCTCCCCTCACAGTTGCTGACCACGCCATGAAGGGGCTCCACTGGTCGTCCTCCTCTCTAGAGTCCTCCTCAGCGTCTCGCGCCACGACGCGTTCTTGGGTCTTCCCCTAGGGTTGCCGGCAAGCTTGGGCGCGCTTTCACCCCTCTTCTTCCACGTTTCTGGGCGCTTTTCCGGGAACTTCTCCCAGCATTCATGGCTTTTGTGGGAGTCCTTCCGCCCGCACTGTGCGCAGACGGCTCCCGGGTCCCGCCCCTCCTTTGGTTTCTCCCGGCAGTCAGATCGTCGATGCCCTAATTTCCGCAGTTCCAACAGTCCCCCAGAAACTCCCCTCTTGAGCTTGAAGCTAGCCGCCGGCGGGCCCGCAACGAAAGCCTGCTTTTCCTTCTTCTCGCGCCGGCGCTCCCCCTTATTCTGGCTCTTGGGTTTGGTTTCTCCGCCGTCGTTTGGCTCCCGCTTCCTCTCATTCCCCCGTGATGAGGACGCCCCTAAAACTGACATCCCTCCCATCTTACCGGCTAGGTCCCCCTTGACCATCTTTACCGGCGCGCGTCCCAACTCCCTGGTGTAGAGGGCTTCCTCGATCTGCCGGCACGTCGCCTCCAGCTTTGTCAGAGTCAGCTCGTCCTCCCCCTAGGTAAGGGTTTGATGCTCAACCGCCCTTCTCAGCTCCGGCTTCAAGGCAAACACCGCCTTCTTGACGACTTCCCGACCTGTATCTAGGGAGACGCTAAAATGACCCTTGGTGGATTCTGGTGAAAACCGGAAATGTAACGCGTAACGCTGACTATGATCATCGATCCTCGGATGCTATCAAAGGGACTGGAGGGGGTTTGAAGAGTCTGACAACGCTACTTTACGTCAAAAGCAGCGTGTGCTAGTGCATTAAGGTATGGTACACACTCGAAGGACGGGTGGGGTTAGTTTGGTGGTTAGGGCGGGTAAGGGTGCGGAGCGTGTCATTCTTTGTATTACGGTTTTAATTTGTAGGTGCTCGAGAGGCTTCTGAATCTTGATGCAAATGGCTAAGTGCAAACTATAGTGGCCAAGAGTACCGCGGGCTGTGCACAGGTTGTGTATATTAGAGGTACTGTACAATTATCTCGACTTAACAGTGTGCTTATATAGAGAACAAGGCTGAATTGCTCAAATTAGCCAATTACAGTAATTACTTAGACTTCTTGGGCCCTTAGGGTGAACCCCTTCCACTATCATAGCGTCTGGAGATCCACACCTACCTTGAAATCATGAGCAATTAGGGTAACTTAAGTAATTTGGGTAATTGAAGATTGTGAATTGCTCGATTAGCCAGATTACAATGATTACACACAATTTGATTCCCCGGGGCCCACGTTTTCTTCAAGTTGTACACCCATAGCCCTTGAAGCTGTGTACACACCGCAACTCGTTGAATATTTAGGGTAACAGCTCGGTAATTGAGCGATTGGGCTAATTAACCCACGGTTGCGAGGCTCGAAGTTGCTTGGATTGCTTGAATTAGGACAATTGCTCACGTTTCAAACGACCTAGACTCGGAGGGACCCCGTCGATTACAGTTACACGAATTGCTTGAATTAGCGTAATTGCTCATGTTTCAAGAGCCTTCAAAACCCTTTCATAGCGTGTTTGCTGGGACTCGATTGCTTGAATTAGCGTGATTGCTCATCTTTTCAAGCACTTCAATCAGCTCTACATATACTAAGCAGTTGCTTGAATTGCTCAAATTAGCGTAATTGCTCATATTTTCAAATGCTTTGCTGACTCGTTCATACAGCGGTTGCAAAAATTGCTCGAATCATTGCAGTGCAATTTGCTCATGTTTCAACGCTCCCATCTTTCTGAAGCCCCAGATTTTGTAGTTGCTTGAATTGCTTCATGAACTAGCGTAATTTCTCGCATTTCAATTAAGGGCCCCAAGGACCTTCATACAAAGTTGTTGCTAGAATTGTTTGAAATAGCTAATTGCTCACATTTCAAGGCCCCAATGACCTTCATTGATAGTTCGAGCAGTGGATCAGTTCTTCGCCGTCAACGAAGAAAGAAGAGGCAATCCCTAGCTAATCTAAGCCTAAAGAGGCATTTTGCCAAGAAGAGCTAGAAGTTTATGCTTCTTGCTCAACGGGGCTCACAATATCCGAAGGCTCGACCCCAGACTCGTTCCTTGCAGTTTCCGACTGCCGGCGTCGAAGAGGACGCGTCTGTTGTTTCTCCCTTCTTTTTGCGAGAGTTCCTCGTTTGTGGAGGCATGCCAAAAGGGGATTACAACCGGCAATGCTCACTAATAATTGATGTCTACCTGCCAACGCAAACTACGCTACCTGCCCAGCTGTCGGGGCAACAATTATAATGAAGGAAACGGAGAACCCTCGCAAGACTAGCAAGCAACCCTTATTACCACTGACGGCGCACCGTGCAGCGTCAGGCAACCCTTTCCAACACCGCCGGCACATATCGCAGCGCAACCGGCAACCTTTTCCACGTGAGCAGGAAACCGTTCTGCCTATGCTACCCCGCAGAGCAACACTCTGGCTACGCTGATTGCTACCCCGCGTGGCAACAATTGCCCATGGCCGCGCTCACCTGTGGCTGTATTAAATAACAAAACTACAGGAGCTTTCACGCCGGCGGTATAGCACCAAGCGAATTCCCGCCCTTCGCTGCAGCGCCTTTGCATTCACAGCGGTTGCTTGTCGCCCCAGGGAAATACAACGTTATTTTTCAAGTTTGTGACACCGAAACTCTCGATCACGCAAACGACAGTCGGAGCTCAGCACAATCTCCAGACTCAGTCGCACTTCTCTTTGGCAAGTGATGACGTGTCAATGCCCTTGCACGAAGAACACGTTAGCGGCGTGGAGTCGTCACAAGTGCTGAAAATCTCTATTGGCTCTCTCATGCAGCATGCACATCACCGATCATGCAATGCTCGTGGACATCGTGACTTCTCCCTTTCTCGAGGTTTCGGCTCCAATCACGCACAACACATGAGCTGACCGCAGCACATCGATGCTTCCCGCACTCACTTGAAAGGAGGAGAACCTCCGCCATAGTTCACAAGCCCGCTGCCAATAAGCTCGCTGCACTATGAAATTAACATTAGCGCCCTATGCTCGATGCGCCTAGCTATGGAGACTTGCCTAAGAGAAGTGAAGGGATCACCTCTCCTCGGCCCTATGTGTATGGCCGGCGCAAGTCTCAATCATGGGCTATGTTCTCGTACCCTACCTGCTCGGCCGCTTATCCTGGCGGTCTACCACTAACCAGACACCAGTGGTCTAACCCTTGACTCTACCCGCGGCGAGCGCGCCAGGCTCGCAAGCCGGCCGCCGGTCGCCCTATTGCCGCCACGTGGCACGTCTGCGCCACGTGTCGCTATCTGGACACTACCCGGCACGGACAGCTCTCGGCATGGCAAGCAATCATTATTGGAGGAAGTACCAATGGGGAATGAAGGTTTACAAGAATAGACATTCATTGTCATTTTCATCATCATTTCAATTTTCGGGTATTTTCACAGTGAATAAATCAAGAAAATTAAAAATATAATTAATATTCATTGTGAAATCCGGGTTACATAGCTTGTTAGCGTGACCACAAATCAAACCATAGAGTCAACCTGCTATACCCTCTTTCACTTGGTTCATCATCATCAATTCTACTTAGCTGGTTTTGGACCCATGTATACAGCTAATTTAATAGGTTCATCATCAATTGTATTTCTTACCGCTTCGTCGACCCCTCTATACTCAAATCAATATCTTCATCATCATCACCTATACTTACATACTAGAAAGAAGATGATGAAGGAAAAGATAAAGGGGTTTCGGGGAAGGGGCTGATTCTTGGGCCTTTATACCCTACTTCAACTTGTTCATCATCATCATTTTTGCCCATGGCGGGATTTGTAGGAGAATGATGATGATGAAGTGGAAGATAGAGGGGAAAAGGGGAAGGGGCTGATGCTAGAGCCTTAATACTATACTTCAACCCGTTCATTATCATCGTTTTGCCTACTGCGGAATCTGTAAGGAAAGCGGTGATGATGAAGCCGATGAAACGGGGGTATAAGGCTTCTATGGACTCCGAAGACAAATTGATGATGATGAAGCCGGTGAACGGGGGTTATAGGGGTCACGGGACCCCCAAGACAGAATGATGATGATGATGATGATGAAGGCGCTGAAATGGGGGTATAGAGGGTCCTCGGATCCAAGGGGGATTGATGATGATGAAGGCTTTGGAAGGTGGATATAGAGGGTTCCGGCTAAAGCGGAAGTGATGATGATGAGGGTTTGAAACGGGGGTATACGGGGTTTGGGACAAAAGAAAAATGTTGATGATGAATGCTTTGAAATGGGTACAGAGGGTCCCGCGACCCAAGAGGAAGTGATGATGATGAAGGCTTTGAAACGGTGGTACAGGGGGTCCCGGGACCCAAGAGGAATTGATGATGATGTAGGCTTTGAAACGCGTGTATAGGGGGTCCCGGGACCCAAGGGGAATTGATGATGATGAAAGCTTTGAAAGAGGGGTATAGGGGGGTCCCGGGAGCAAGGGGGATTGATGATGATGAACACGTTGAATAGAAGGTATAAGGGGTATATGGTAGATTGAGGAAGATGTATATGATTGCACATATGTCTATATGCAATATTATGATGAAAGTAATAAACTTGTATATATTCACGGCCCATTAGTACTCTCTCCATTATTGAATGATACTTTACAGAAATTCGGGCAGAAATCTCGAAGGCTATAGAAGTTTGGCTGCTTCATCAATTGGAGAATGTCGGTTGGATGTTCAATGTTACGGTCAGTGGCGTATGGTGGGTTGGCCTCTTCTAAAAAAGAGGGAATGCCCATTGCCACTGCTCTTTGGATAATTTGGAGGCAAAGCGACCTCGTAAAAATTTAAAATAGTGACAGCCTAGCTCACCCTCTCCAGATCGAGGCAATGTCGGCGACAGGTTGTCCAACCCTCAGTGCCCAAGCCATCAATCCCCTGCGCAGACCCCCCCTGCTTTGCACCCATGCTCAGCCAGCTTGCATGCGTCCTGCTCATTTACCTGCCAATCTAATACCGTGACTGAGTAACTCGCAGTGCATGTTGCATGTCATTATCTAATACCGTATACCGCCGACCGGTATGATGGTATTTAAGATGTCAAGTCAAGTAAACCACCAGACCGACTATTTAATCGGGTAAACTCAAAATGCTGACGTGGCACTTTTTGCCAACGGCCGACCGAATTCAAATTCGGCCGAGGGCGCACGGATCGAACTTGAAAAAAATGGCATTATGGATACAGAAAAGTGGACCATTTCTGCATCATTTTCGGCGGTTCTTGTCGCAATGTGTAGGGGGCGCGGGCCTCTTGAGCGTAACGTCGAAACTGCCGTGAGAAACCATTCAATATGAGCCATTTTATGTTGAGCAGAAAACTTTCTCGTACTAGAGCTAAACCGAGGCGCCCATGTCCATATTTCAAGTTTCGGAGTTCCGAATTTTG